TTTTTTTATTAAATATTTTAAATATTAATTATTATTATTTTTTTAATAATTTAAATTTAATAATAAAATAAAATTATTTAAAAAATATATTAAAAATTATTTGACGCCGGCTCGTTAGCTCATTTCATAACTGAGCTAGAGCTCGACTCGTGAGCTAGATAAGCTCGGCTCACGAGCGTATAAACGAATCAAGCTCGCGCGCGACTCGCAGTCGGCTCAGCTCACTTACATCCCTAATTATTGCTTATACATTGATCAATGTTTAAATCTAGGCTCACTTATAATTGTGATGTTGGGAGTGATCACATTTAGTATAAGATGAATCCTATTAGTGTGGTAAATAATTGCCCTAGTATTGTTTTTGCCCTCTGCTTGAGTCAGTTGTTTTCCTTGGGGAGGCGGTTGAGTTTGATTCGATGATTCCTGTTGTTGGTGCTCCTTCAACAGAGTCATAATTAAGCAACTCTTTTGAGAGTGGCATGACTTGAAAATAAGTGAGGATCAAAGTTAAAATGGGAGTGGTTTGAAATGGACGATCGATATTGATTCCTCTTGATCATAGTTTGATCCGTATTATTAATCATTTGTATGTCTTAATGATATCATAATTTGGTGATTCTTAGGCTCCTTGGATTTGTCTCGTCGAGCCGCTCGATTTGACTATAAGCATGTCACGTTTGGTAATTCAAATTGTGTTTGAACCTTCCCAATGCGCTTTGAGTCTTTGATTTGGACTCATTTGGGATCAGATGAAGTCAAATTTGGTGTCGTGGGTTTTGTATTTCCGAGACATTTAGTTTGACTATAATTTTTGCTGAATTCAAAGTTTGGATGATCCCAAATTTAATTTCTGAAAGCTTTCAACCTTCATCTTTTTCTTGAGATTCAGTTGCCAGATCAAGATAAATTTTTGATGATAATACCACTACCTATATTCTTTCTACTAATGGAAAGCTTCTAATTTTCACACCAATTATTTTCGTCATGGCTACAATGAATTTATGAAATGTTTTGAAGCTCATTTTTTTGTACTTTTTTGTTTCAACTTATTTTTTTTCATGCAAGGCCTTAGAAAGATGGACTAACTACTCAAAGATCCATTTTGCTATGATCTTTAATATTTTGTTGTATGATTTGCAGTCCATGCCATCGTAGCTATTTCATGTACTTTTCTTTAATTGTATTTAGTGTTATGATGGAGAGGAAAGTTTAAGTTCTATTTGTCATTGGTTTGAACCTCTGTACATATTATGCAATGTTTGCGTCTCCATTCAATTATTGATTTGAGGCAGCACAACATTCTGTTGTTTCTCAAGAACATGTTAAATGTGTTTGATCAGCAGCCTTATCCTTTTTGTCATACGCAAAATTAAATAATTATTTATTATTTGTTAAATGTTAAATTCTACACTAATAAATCTTGATTTGCTCATTTCTCTTTGCATAAACTTTTAAAATTTAATTTCATTTTATTGGCTCAATTTTCTAGTAACAATATGAGATTACCCAAGTAAAGTGGTTGTAAATGTAATTGATTTATAATAGCTAGGATCACACTTAATATTGTATCAACGAGACAGCTACCATGACATCCTGAAGTTATATTAAGGTTTGTTCATGAACTACTATGATCATATTCATGCCTCTTGTGTTATTGCTTATGTAATTTGGTTATATAAACTCTGACGCTTGACAATTAGGCTTGGATGGAGTTATATAACTCTTTCTCTGGTGCAAATATCAAGAATTTCTTTTTAAGGAAGTTCGAAAATTCCATAATGCATTATAGTTTGAACGTATATTTTTAATATCATATTATTCCCATGACTGTAGATAATCATATCTAGCTTCAATCTCTATCTAGCATATTAATGTGAATTGAACTTGTGATCCTTAGAGCGCAAAGGATGGCTTACCGTTTGGAGCAAATATGTCACGACTCTTGAGATAGCTCAAAGTGATGTCTTAAAAGGATACAATTCAATACATATTGGTGGGAATCAAATGTGTGTTCCTGTTGGTGGACACTGTGGTGCTTGAATGGTTCTTGACAAGGAAGAATGCATCAAACACAATTGTGCATGTGGGGTCTGACCTAAATTGTACTTTGAAAGAGGCTTCAACATAAGCATGAAAGATGAGATTTTCATGCCTCATATTTGTTTATTGTTTACCATTACGAAACATCATTTTCAACTAAACGACTATATGATCTATATATAGAAAGGTCTTTGCAAAATTCTATGGCTTTTATGTGATACAAATATTACACTATTTAATTTCATGTTTGAATTTTGATTCGCTAAATACAGTGATGGGTTAAGAGAAGCATGGTCCATACCAATTCTTTTTTTATTGATTTTTAAGCTCCAAACTACCTTTAGGAGACTTTGGGTTCCTACACTTTTACATTTCATAATATACAATAATGAAGTTAGATATGTTTACTTTATCATTTGCAGTTAATTTTCATGGATATTTGCTCTTATTAAATTCAATCTCTTTTGTTGGTGTCTATAAAGATTTAATTTCATTTTACATGAACTAGCAATTAAATCTAATGATTCACTAACATTTAAATAGTAATTTGGTTCATTCAAAATGATCAGAGTTCTAAAAACTATCAACTCACACTCCCAATGATTCCATGTCATACAATTGCCTTATGAGGCAAGTGTTACACATCGCAGTCATTGGGATGTCAGCAGGCAGGGACTAAATGCTTGATGTGAAAACTTGAACAAAGCTCTCCAAAGTAAGACTTGATGTTTCCACGCTCTTTCTCTTATTATCTCATGTTCCTATCAATAAATTGATTTCAGTTTCTTGCTTGAATTGGGTTGTGTATTGTATAATATAAAGTTTAGGTTGTGATGATATTTTTTCAGTTCAATGCTCTATCAACTATCAATTTATAAGAGCGTTGCACATAATGAATATCATGCAGCATTTAGGCTTTTCACACTACATTTAGAAAATGATATAATATATATATATATATATATAGTATATATATAATATATATTATATTAATATATATAGTATATATATATATTAATATATATATATATATTTAAAGAATGATAATATTATATTAA